AACCGACTTGACGGTCCTTAACAACAACAACAATATCTAGTTTATGGAGTCGTGAGGCATTGTAGGATAATCACTGGATTGCTAATCACAAAGTAAGTAGTTTAAACCTACCAGTTTCTACTTGGAAACTCTGTACAGAATGGATATGAGTGGGATTCAACTCACAGCATTTAACAACAACAACAACAACAACAACAACAACATCTAGTATATGCCAATTGTGGTACTGTAAAGTGTAAACTGCTGGTGAGAAACCATATACACAGTCTGCATTAGTGGTAAACAGCTCAATGCACTTAACACAACAACATCCAGTTTACATTGTTCAATTACTGCATATTGTAATTTTAAAGGGTCTCTGAAAACTGGAAAATATACGCAGTTTTAAAATTTAAAAAAATTGGCTCCTGAAAGATGCCGGACATTATTGACCCATGGAAATGTAACTAGAAAAACAATGCACAATGCATTCAAGTTAAGGTGCTTCAGCTCAGGGAGTGCAGTTCCTCTTTTCTTCAACCAGATATGCTGATCTGATTGATTTTCATTGCCTCTCACAACACAAAAATGACCACAGTGCAAGCTAATCATTCATTTGTTTGATTGAAAACCTTCTTTCTAAGTACTATAGAACTCCCAAAGAACTAATCTTTGGATAATTTAAATCACAGCAATCCAGAAATCATATGGTGCTTAACTTCATTGATTTCCCACATATCGAGCACTAAATTATTCATGTTAAATGTCTTAAGCCATATTTCTATAGTTTTCCATATTTTTGATGACTCACTACAGTATATTGTGACTTAACCACAGGAATACTTATCAATATTGTATCCCATTGAGTAAAGTAAAATATTAATGTTCTCTTGTCTCTTCTCAGTGTATTTTACTTTATCTAATACATGTTAAAAACTCATAAAAACACTTTATCCTACTGTTTTAGTTATCTAAAACTAATTCCTATTTATTTTTATTCATATTTTCTCCATGAACTAGATCCTTCATTATTATGGTTAATTCACTAACTCTAGTCTTCACTCTCTTTTCTCTGCCACTTATGCATGTACTATGTTCTCTATTATATTCTACCTCAAATTTTTAATCCATTTCCATGCACTCCTTGAAATTACAAAAAAGATAAGTCTTCTCCTCCAGATATTTACTTTTATATCTCCAATCAATTAATTTGCTAACTTTTTTCTATTACTTCTTTGGCTGACCCCTTATCAATAGTGTTGAACTAACAATGGTTTTTATTTTTATTGTAGTATTATATCTATATATCTTGATCTTGCGTTAAAACAAAATAATATTTCTCTTTGATATCAAATACCAAATTCATTCCAATTACATCTCTGCTTGAAAATAAAGTGAGATTTTCCTGAGTTTTCAGTTTTTTATAGCTCCCCTGGTATGGTGCTGTGAATTAATGCACTGGTCTGCAAAGTCAGTTTGAACCACAAGGTCACTCACCAGCTGCTCTTTGGAAAACCTATTCAGTGTCACTATGGGTCAGAACTGAATTGGCAGCAGTAAACAGTAACAACATTGAATTATGCTACATGAATTTTCTTCTCTGTGCTGCATATCTGCTTTCTTCTTAAGCTCCTGTACCTTCTCATAGCCACTCTTTACATTAAAGATACTTGGGGGATTAAGGTATGCTTCCTCAATTATCAGTGCAAAATCACAGCATTATTACATCACAAAATATTTAGTTTGGAGTTCTTCAACTTATTACTAACCTACTACATTTTTCCTGTTCTTTTAATTTTTTTTTTTTTTTTATTTTTATTCTGCTGCATCTTTTCTTCTAAATGAGTCCCTCTGTATGCTCCCCCATTTTGGAAACCTCGCTCATGCTATCCCCTTATCTCTTTTTGTTGTTACAATAAGTAGTTGTGATAATTCTGCCAAGTATTAAGATCTGTCTCAGATATTTGGAAAAGCACCATAGAAGACTTGATGTAATGTATGTCTTTCTGGTTTCTGGCAATACAGTATTTGAAGTGATCTTTTAAAAACAGACTGCATACTACTTGCAATTGTGTAACTTAGATTTACAACAGAAACAGAACTGTGATTAACTTACATTATATAATGACTTAATTTTACCACATGTGAAAATAAAAAGATCTTCAATAATTCTTCAAAAATCCCTTTCTCATAAATTTAATATTTAAAATATGCTTAAAACAGACATTCTATGCAAATATTGCACAAATCCTTAAAATGCACTGTTTGGGAGAAATTACTGCAGGGAAATGTACTTATACTTTATGTTTTGTTTCCTTTTTTATTCCTTGATCTGTTAATATAAAATCTTGCTTATCATAAATGTCTGTTTAAATACCTGATATATAAAAAGTTTGTAGGAATGATGAACTTACAAGAAAATGCGATGGGTGAGTTAATTGAATGATTGATGCAACCATTAAATGCACCACAATGGATCTTGAGGTTTCAGAAAATTAAATTAGAACTTAGTATAATCCTGTGCATCTTACTTTAATATTTACAAGTAGCTCTGTCTACTTATTACATTTTCATTCCAAAGTTTGTGTTTTAAAAATATTTCTTATCATCTTCTTTCACTGAAGTTCGTATCACACATCTACCACCATATCATGGAAATACAAAAACTTTTCATGGTTTGAAATCAGAGTGAAAACTCTTTATTTTTTATCCTCACAAATTTATTTTTATTTTCTACCTTTAAGTAAAGGAGCTCTGGTAACGTGGATGTTACGAATCGGGCTGTGAACCGCAAGGTCAGCAGATCGAAACTACCAGCTGTTCCGCAGAAGAGAGATGAGGCGTTCTGCTCCCGTAAAGATTTACAGCCTCGGAAACCCTGTACAGGGTCGCTTTGAGTCGTAACTGACTCCACGGCACACAGCCACCACCACCACAACCTTTAAGTAAGAGGCTTAGTGTGGAGCTGTAGGATAAGCACTGGATCACATGGTCAGCAGTTCACACTCACTAGGCACTCCTTGGAAATCGTATATAGTGTTGCTATGAATCATAACAGACTCTATGGCACTTAACAGCAACAATCACAACCTTTATGTTCCATGTTGCAGCTAAGTAGAGTTGAGGCTTTACTGCCTTCAGGGGATGATAGGGTTTGCATTCTGACTTTGCAATA